GCATGCTGCAGCTTGGTTGTGCTGGTGCTACGTGCTGGCGTTGGGCGTTGCTAGCACCTAGTGCTGGCACAGGCCCCCAGCAGCCACGCACACCTCTTTGCGCGCTATTGCTAGCACAGCCAGCATGCGTGCTGCTAGCGAGCCACGCATGCTGGCCCCCTTCCCTCGCACTATCCACGCAACACGCACCATGCACCACGCAACGCTCGCATTAGCCAGTGCCCAGCACTGCTTGTGCTTGGTGCGAGGCACGCACACACGCACACGCACATGCATGCGTGGTGTTGCTGCCTAGCAACCTAGCATCCCCATTGCACGCACACACGCACCAGCCCACACGCATCAATGCGGCTGCTGTGCGAGGCTACGAGGCACACATGCACACACACGCACGCCCTTGGCATTGCGATGGTGTTGTGCGTGGTGCCATGCCTTGCGATGGTGTCTTCCCTGGGCTGTGTGCTGCGATAGCCTGCCACATGCACCCAAGCACCCAAGCTAGCACGCTGCTAGCTGCGATGGGCTGCCTGGTGCTTGTGGGGCTTGCGATAGCTGCCATGCCCACCCAGGCACCCATGCTAGCATGCTGCTAGCTTGTGATGGGCTGCCAGGGCACGCCTAGGCTTGCGATGAGCTAGCCTAGCTACGGCTACGCTCATACTTGTTGCTTGTGATTTTGCGACGTTCGGTCTCGACGCCCTAGGCGCGATTTCCGACGTCTGTATTCGTAAAACTCTGTCGACTCATTAAATCTTTTCGGATTAATTCTTCGTCTCAGATCGGTGATTCGATTGGATTCGACCCGAAGGGTTCAGTTAAGATCAAGCTATAATATCAATTCTACCTCGATATTACTGATCGGAAGCGGCCTCCACCTAGGCATATCGATCACTTGAACTTACTGAAGAATTAGCTCCGTAATAATTCTGAACCCTCTATCGGAAGAATACACTTGTTGGAAGGACACCATTCCTTTCATTTTGCTCGGCCAGCTCGCCTAGCTATGCGTACGATGCATGTTGAGCTTGTAGCAAAGCGTTACCTTGCGGCAACCTAGCCCTGGATTTGCTAGGCCATATCAAGGCTAGGATTTTCACGCGCGTTGACTTGTTGTTTGGCTTATTTTTCCGTCTTGCGATTCCTAAATTCGTCTGGACTCGACGCTCTAAGCTCGGAATCCGACGACTTAGTTCGTAAAATCTCTATTGACTCATTTACTCCTTCGCATTAATTCGTCACTTTGATTCGGTTACGCGATTAGGGGTAACCCGAGGGATTCAGTCAAGAGCAAGCTACAATATTAATTATACATTAATATTTCTGATCGGAAGCGACCTTTAGGTAGGCATTCCGATCACTTGACCTCACTGAATAATTAGCTATCCTAATTAATTCCGAACCCTCTATCGGAATAATACACTTGTACGAAGGACACTATTCCTTTCACGGCCGTCGCTAGCGAGGGTGGAGAAGGCTGCGCATCACCAGCCGAGGATGGGGGATGCTTGGCGCCGGCAAGGGGAGGGGTTGGGCTTTTTTAAAACTATTTTTGTAATAATTTAATTATTAAAAAATTTAAAAACTAACTTAAAACCTCTAACTATAGTTAGAAATTTTATTAAAATTAATAATTAATGTTATAAGTAATTTATTAAACTGATACTTCTTCTGTTCCACAAATATTGCAAAAAGGATGAAATTACGCATCCCAAAGCACATTTTGCATGTTAAATATCTACAATTATATATGAGTAAAAATTATAAAAAGTTGATATTGTGAAAATATTATACGAGACGAATCTTATAAGACCCCACATGTCTATATTTTACTTTACGTATAAATCATAGTTTGCGGTCAAACAAGCCATGATGTATAGTGTAAAAATTCAGTTGTTGCAATATTACTAGAACGGATGAAGTATAATGTTACCAATGATAATGAAAATTTCAAAAATTTTAAAAAAAGAGAAAAATAACTTTAGGTGTTACCAAAGAGAAATTCCCAATAAAAAATCCTAATAACCAATCACAATGCAACATGTTTTTAACTTAGCCTATTAAACAAGTTATCGATTTTAAAATATATTTTGAGCAAGTATACGTTAAATGTCGTTTTATATTGGAATAATTTCAAGGTTGTTTTATTTTTGGAAGGCCGGCCAAAGCTCGTATTATTTCTGACAAATTTTCTTTTATTTTTAAATTAAATGTAGTCTTAAATTAATAATAAATACTATATGTATGTTTTTTTTTAAATTGAATGTGTGAAAGGAATGGTGTCCTTCCAGCAAATGTATTATTCCGATATAGGGTTCGAAATTATAAGAAAGCTAATTCTGTAGTAAGGTCAAGTGATCGAAATTCCTAGGTGGAGGCCGCTTCCGATCAGTAATATTAATGCATAATTAATATTACGGCTTAATCTTGACTGAACCCTTCGAGTCGAGCCCCAATCGAATAACCGATCCGAATTGACGAATCAATCTGAAGGATTAGATGAGTCATTAGAGTATTACGAACAAAGGCATCGGATATCGAGCTTAGAGCTTCGAGATCGAGCGTCGCAAGTCTAGTCGAATTTAGAATTTGACGAGACTTAAAATCAAGCAAGCGACAAGTTTGAGCCTAGCCCTAGCCTTGCATTGGCCTAGCCATGCAAGTCCTAGGCTAGGCGAAGTCACCAACCCATGCGCATCATGGGTGCCTAGCATCCCTTAGCACACGCACATCGCATGGCACAAGCATCGCAAGATGCGTGCATGCGTGTTGTGTGGCTGTGCATGCATGGCTAGGCGTGCTACCATAGTAGCGCTAGCCATCGCATCATGCTAGGCATGGGCTAGCACATCCCCCAAGCATCGCACATGCTAGCAGCGTGCTAGGCCTTGCGTGTTGGCTAGCGTGCTAGGGCTTGGCGCATAGCCCATCGCAGCCTCGCACCAAGCAGCAGCATCGCATAGCAGCGTGCTAGGCATGCTGGGCTATGCGTGCGTGCTTACATAGCAGTGCCTAGCAGCAGCACAGCAGCATCACATGCGTGCTGGCTAGTTGCGCATGTGCTGCGGGCTGGCTGGCGATGTGCTGGCTTGCTTGCTATGCTAGTGCTAGGCACAAGCTGGCAGCCAAGGCAGGCTGCCAGCCAGCCAAGTGGTGGAGTGGTCCAGTTTTGTGTGCGGACCGGTTTCAAGGCCTTGCTTGATGAGCAAGGTTATGGTCCCCCCCCCTGAAATGGTCCTCACTTAATTCTTCCTCTCCCATTGCCACTTGTAGCTTGTTAATTGATTTAGTATTTTTTTTTATTAAAATAAAATAGGGGAAAATGCAAATCTCCCACATTGATTGAGAATGAGAAATCAAGGTTCATTTCCCTATAAATACCTAAGTTATGGGGATTTTGGAGAACACTTGAGTGCAACTAAAATGGCATATCCTTAGTAAAGTGAGAAAACCTTAAGTTCGTTGTACACTAGTTTTTATTGGTCAAGTCTCGACTAACCTTCGGGACTAGGACCGTTCGGATCGGGTCGAGGGTGCGAGCCGTAGGAGGCCGTTGCACTTGCGAGGCTCGGGCTCTAAAGTAAGAGTTGGTGAATCGAGCGAAGCACTCGTCAAGGGTAAGAATGTCTTTTCTCTTTCTCTCTTTTATATTGTTAATTATGTGATTAAATATTTAGTTGCTTTAATTAGTGAGCGGGTCTTGGGCGGGTTTCTCTTCCGCGCAGCGTTAGATGCTACGAAACCCAACAATGTGGTGGTAAATTAATACTTCCTCCATTCTAGTAATATTGCAACAATTGGATTTTTACATTATTCATCACGTTTGTTTGACCAAATATTATGATTTATACGTAAAGTAAAATATAGTCATGTGGGGTCTTGTTAGATTCGTCTCGTAAAATAGTTTCACAATATCAACTTTTTATAATTTTTACTCTTATATAATTATAGACATTTAGCATATAAAATGTGTTTCAGGATACGTAATTTCATCCTTGTTGCAATATTTGTGGAACAGAGGAAGTAATAAATAGTGAAATTATTGTGCATGACACGAAACCTAACCTAGAATATGAGAATTTGTAACATTACCCTGTTATTATCTCTACCATGGACCGCCTCCCAAGGCATCAAAGAGAAGTGGGGTTGGACCATTGGATGTACGAAGGTCTACGACTATACCCTTGCATTAACAGATGGTATTTATTAATAATTTTGATCTAATTTGATTATCACAATTAATACCGCTAATTCCCTATTAGTCACTGTGAGTAACAAGTTTGTTACTGACAGTGGCATTTCGGAAATTAAGTGGAAGTTTTCCACTTCCTGAGTTGCTGAGTTGGATTCGTCTATATGTCAAACTTGCTGAGTGTACCTGGAGTATTGTTCAGTGGGGACATCCTTCTATCAATCTGTTGGAGATGGCGTTAAATTCTTGACATTTTGGCGGAAAAATATTCACAGCTTCCATACCGAGAAGCTTGTTCAAGAAAAATAGCAGGTAATTTTCTATTCTTCACACATCGCCGAATTGTACAGCTTCCAGACCCAATTGAAAAACACACGGACATCTTTGAAATACGAGGTATTTTTCTGATCTATTAAATCGTCGCATGTTGTAGTCGTGAGTTTTGTTCTGTTGTTGTCATGCGCCCACAATTCATGAAATTGAATTCATAATTTCGAGCGAAATCGGAATAATTTAGAAAGTAATAGGAATGTAAGGACTTTTTCCTTTGTTAAAATGGGGTTGAGGTTGCCGGAAATGGCCGGAGGATTTTGTTTATAATGCAATTTTTAACTTTTTGAAAAATAAGTGTTGTCTTTGTATGTTTTTTAAAAAATCCCTGTGTTGATTTGTGAGGTTATGTGAAAATTGGTTGTGTTGGTTGTTCAATTTGATGGTTGATTTGTGTCGGTTGGTTGTATTTCTGTGTTGGGTTGAATTTGTGTTGTGAAAACGTTTTTGGTTGATTTGTATTGAATTTTATATTATAATAATGTTGGTGTTCTGTATTAGTTTGTATCGTAGTAATTATGTTGGTGTTCTTTATTTGAAGGGTGAATTGTTTGTGTTGGAGAAGATTTATATTATGGAAATGGAAACAGAAAGCATAACAAGGGGCAGTGAGGTTGGTGTTGGTGATTGTGGCAGTGGAGTTAAGTTTCGGAGTAACGTCCATATGGAGGAGGGTATAGAAGACGTAGATGATGCAGGTAGTTGTGCACTTGACATGGATGTTAGGTATTTATCCCCGTGGAAACAATTCATATGATTCACACTGTGGTTGGTAGCAACGAAATAGCTGTAGTTGTTGAGGAGCCTAAGGAAGGGATGGTTTTCCAGTCTTGGCAAGACGTTGAAGCCTACTATAAGGACTATGCTGAGCAGATGGGGTTTGGAGTGACAAGGGCCCAAGGTGTAAATTCTAAGATGGGGGACAAAAAAAAAATCAAAGTCACGTGGAAGTGTGAGTGTTGGGGAAAACCTGACATGAGGGCTAGGAGGGAAGCGAAGAAGAGGGCAAAGGCAATGGGTCTTGGAGGTTCAAATGGTTTAATTGACGGGGTGGTATGTGAGGATGAATTAAGTGGTATGAAGAGGACTTCAAAAAAGTGCGAATGTCAGACTCGTGTTTATGCTAAAGTTAACGAAGATAGCTTGTGGGAGTTGAAGAGCGTGGAACTAAAGCATAATCACGGGATTGATCCGGCAAATTCTAAGCTTGTGAAGGAGTACCGCATGAAGCAAATGACCTCCGGATTTAAGAAGAGGCTGATAGATTTCTATGAGCAAGGTGTACCAATTTCTCAAATACACGGTTTCATGGCGACCGAACGAAAGGGTAACATGACTCTCACAGTAAAAGATTCACAACATGAGGTGTACAAGGCTAGACGATTGAAGATGGTTGGAAGGAACTCAGTGGTAATGATGGAGTACTTTGAAAAAATGCAAACCGAGAACCAAAATTTTTTCCATGCTCAACGCTTGGATGAAGAAGGGAGGCTTAAAGATGTGTTGTGGGTGGATGCAAGAAGTAGGGTAGCTTTTGAGGACTTTGGTGATGCGGTTTGCTTCGACACAACATACCTAACGAATGAGTACGAGCTCCTGTTTGCAAATTTTGTTGGTGTGAACCACCATGGGCAATCGTTGTTGTTGGGATGTGCCCTTGTTTCACATGAAGACTGTGATACGTTTGCGTGGATATTTCGACAGTGGTTAGCTTGCATGAACAATCGGGCTCCTAAAGCCATATTGACCGACCAAGCGGCAGCTATGCGGAGGCCCTTTGCTGAAGTCATGTCGAACACGGTGCATCGTTGGTGCATATGGCATATCATGAACAAGATCCCTGAGAAACTTGGCAAGTGTGTACGGTATGTTGTGAAATTCCTCCTCCCGGCTTTACAATTTTCAAGGTCTTAGATATTAGTTTCAAAGGCGTAATATTCTGATTCCCTTATTAAAGACAAGCTAACCTGTTGTTGTTGTTCTGCTTCTATCATTTTTGTTTAGTTACCAAGAGTTCGTCAACCCCCTCAAAGAGCTAGTGTATGAGAGCTTTGACCCCGAGGAGTTCCAAACCCGATGGGCAGAGTTTATTGCTTAGTATAAGTTGGAGGACAATGAATGGCTACACAACCTACACAAAGAGAGTCATATGTGGGTGCCTGCGTACGTGAAGGAGTTTTTTTGGGCCGGTAAGAAGACCACACGAAGGGTGGAGAGCATCAATCGGTTTTTTTACGGCTATGTGAACCGCAAAACAAAACTTCACGAGTTTTCTCAAAAGTATTGCATGGTATTGGATCAATGCTTTCGAGATGAAGTGAGTGCAGATGCGCGTTGCTCGAAGTATCTTAGGAGGTTGGTTAGTGGATTCAAAGTCGAAAAAATATTCCAAAAGTTATACACGGACAACAAGTTTCAAGAAGTTCAAAAGGAGTGTATGAGAATGATGTATTGCAATGTCCAAGGAGAGAAGGTTTTGTGTGAAAACCTTATTCAGTATTCGGTGGTCGATCGTGTATGGAGAGTACCTCCCGGTGCGAGTTACGATGTCATTACAAACAGGCGAAGAACCTACAATGTTACTTTCTGTCCAATGACAAAGGAGGTGCAGTGTGACTGTAGGAAGTTTGGGACAAGTGGCATACTTTGCATACACTATATTAGGATTTTGGATGAAAACTTTGTTGAAGATCTACCAGAGAAGTACGTTATAGACCGTTGGAGGAAGGACATACCCCGGAAGCACACTAGGGTGAATGTGGCCTACCATGACTCGGGGGACACGGTCAATGTGAAGAGATTTAACAAAATGATGCAAAAACTCGAGCCCTTATGTGAAACCGCTGCCATGGTGGACGATCAAACGGTCCATATGGTAATTGAAACACTATCGAAGCTTCAATTAGCTGTTAATGAGCATAAGGACAAGAAGAGTAAGGAAATTGTTCCTGTAGTTAGTACATTGTCATCAGCCACTGAAGGCAGAACGTTTTCCTCAGTTAGGAATCCTGCTCCTGATGCTACTGTCGTAGGCTCCTGTCCAGTTGCCATGAACCTTGTTATCAAAGACCCTATATTTAAGAATAGCAAAAGGGGCAGGCCTAAGGGTTCAAGGCACAAAACGTTAGCTGAAACTGGCTACAAGAAAACCAAAAAGAATAAGAAGCCTACCTGGTAAGATTTATGCTTTCTTCAATATTTAAAGGGTCTGACTGCTTATCCTGTAATTATTTTCTGACTAATGTTATATCTATATCTATATCATACAGGAGCATGCAGGAAATGGTGTTGAGGAGGATGCTGGAAATGGTGGTGAGGAGGAGGATGCAGCAACAAATGGTGTTAGGCAGGATGCAGGTGTTGAGGAGGAGGAAATGGTGTTGCATGATCTGTTGTTTAGGAGGATGCAGGAAAAGGCAGGAATGGCAGAACCTGGTAAGACAAAGGGGAAGACAACAAATGCAGGAAATGGTGTTGAGGAGGATGTTGGAAATGGTGGTGAAGAGGAGGATGCAGGCAGCAGCAAATGGTGTTGGGCAGGATGCAGGTGTTGAGGAGGAGGAAATGGTGTTGTAGGATCTGGTGTTTAGGAGGAGGATGCAGGAAAAGGCTGGAATGGCAAAACCCGGTATGTCAAAGGGGAAGACAACAAAGGGGAAGCGGAAAGCAAATACGTCTTCTCGGAAGCTACCTGTAAGTTTCAATACTAAATTTATGTCATTCTACCTCAGTGATTATTTATATGACATTGAACACATCGCACCTGTCACAGGTGAAGCAGAAACGTCTTGATGAACTAATGGCCACTTCGTGACCATTTGAGTTGCGTCGTTAAATTAATATACTCGATTCTAAGCATGATTAAATAGGAAGAAAATGTAGCTTGTTATTACGGGAGCATATGAAGAACCGTTTATTGTTTGAGCATATGAAGAAACATATTACAGGGTTTATTGTTTGTTTGAGCATATGAAGAAACAGATTACGGGAGCATATTCTTTTCAACAGTTTGTAAAACTGTTAAGTATTTGAAACATGTAAGAAAAATCATCACATGTATCTTTGAGATCATTTTCAAGGCAACAAATATATATACAAACAAAGGTTCAAGGTCTTGAGATCATTTTCAAGTCGAAGTAAATTGATTCACTTTTTAAAAAACGAGACTTTAAATGCTTTGAGTATATCTGATTTTCATGTTTTTAAATGTAAAGATGTAAAAACAAAAGCAGTAAAAACAAAAGCAAAATAAGGAATAACATAGTACGCCTCAAAATTCAGGATACTATCTAGTGTAGAAAACACAAACTGATCAAGTTCAAACAGCACAAACCATAGTCCTACAAAGACACATACACCAAGTCTGTTAATACACGTTATTGTACATAATACGATCATCATTGGAGGAATGGAATGTAAATGACAATATTCCAATTGTTTTTCAGGCCACAAACACCAACACATCACAGTTTTCACGATGTTTTCCTAGGACTTGGAATCGCATCTCCTAGAAATTCTTTCAATTCGTTCACTTCACACTACACGTCGTCCAAGAGCAGATTTGCCCGAGCAATATGAATCTTCCCCTATAAATGTAAGAACAGAACAAACACTTTAGCCAACCATTCTAGAGATCTTCACACAAAAAACAGATGTATACACCACCTACCACACTAAACCTCGTGGTAAATCTTTTGGCAAAGAACTTAATACACGCCATCATAAGAACACCGCAGTATGAGCTGCATATTGGAGGACAACAATCAATACGAAAGCTGAAGATACGTTCTCCTGACCTTAAAGGTAGGCTGATAGTTATTGGCACGGTAAGCAAAGAAGGAAACACAAGTTCTTACTTATCCTTTAGCTCTAAGATCTCAACAGTGCATCTGCTCTAAGAATCTAGCTGACCAACCTTCCATGCTGGGTCACAGAGTTGGAAAAGGACGTCGATGCCACTAAGTTGTATCTTGACAAACTCATTACACATTACCAAATGGTCCCAATAAATACCATGTTTGTTTAGAATGAAAGTCATTAGTTTTAGTACCAGAAGATCAATCTCTTTAGCATGTGTGACGAACGGGTCAGGGTACATGGAATCTATCATCCACAACTGTTGAGCCTTCATGTGTAATACTAAGCACCACCAGTGCGACTCATTAGGGGAATCCTGAGGAACTTCGAGGACTGGGACAAACACCTAGTTAATTGATAATGTCAATGCCATAAGCACAATTTAGCGCATATGCAAGAAAAAACACATTTAAACCTATATTATTGAACTATGTGAGTAAGTTGCTGAGCGCTCGAATATCTGACAGGCTAAAGTTCAGGAGAAATTTGGCATACTTGTTACAAATATGTTCTTCTTTTCCTTTGTTTAACAACAGTCGATTCTATGATCTAGACAATAAAAACAACAAGCATGACCATCATCAAATGTGCACGTAAATATGACACCCGAAAGGTGAAATGAACCCCGAACCACTTACTGAAAAGCTTGGGTCAAGCAAAATACACTTGCTTCTGTTCCAAAAGTCTTTGGTGGCCCATTGCTTAGTGTATAGCACACTGGCCATTCTAACGTAATTAGTGGAATTCCGCGATTTATTGTGCACCACTTCATAGCAATCCCTCTGGTTGGCTTCCATGTGATCACACTTTATCATCACCATACCAGGGCTATGTGGTGAACCATCATCATAACACCAAGTATACATATAAACATATTAGAATTTACAATTAAAACAAAAATTTTGCAAAAGGCATGCACAATAAAAAGACCTTAGACACTCAAGTACACTTTTCTAAATTACCTAAGTGGATCCTTCAGGTCCTTCCACCGCTTTATGAACTGCAGCAGACGTGACTCCACCGCTGTATGGCAACAGGTGTTTGACACATTGGTGAACATGGCTGACAAGGCTGCCTCGGTAGGTTTCATCACCCTCTTATCAGCAGACTCATCTTCCTCATCAGATGAAGATGACTTTTCCAAACTGCACCTACCATCAACCAAGACAGTCGTTCCCCTCATCCCAAGCAAGCCCACAATTATTTCAGGTCTAGGCTCTACGTTCCCATCTTCCACTTCATGATCAGAAAAACAGCCATTTAACTCTGTGAGAACACCCTCATCAGCCCCAACAACCTTGGATTCATCCCCAACCACCTTGGCCACACCCCCAGCCTTTGCAAACAGTGGATCAACCGATATATTTTGAACCACACGGTCCAGGTTATCGTCACCGGAAACAGCATGAGCGTGATGGCCTTCCCTACCAACTACGTTTGCACTTTCTTCCAGTTTTGTCTTCCCCAACAAACATCTGGCCAAACCCTTTTCTTCATGCGCAACACCATCCTTCTCCGTTTGCCTAACCCTCTCGATTGCCCCCCCCCCCCTACTCACTCTCTGGGCATTAGCTACATCAACACACTTCGACATTAGCTTATGCACTGATTTCATAACGTCAGCTAATTTAAAATCTATCAGAGCCACCAACTTCGAAGTAATTCTATCCAACACCTTTAGGAAAGCATAAACACAAACTGTTAACAACTGCCATAGCACATGTAACTTATTTTTTATACATTACAGAGCTACATATGAAAGTATCATTGCCTAGGATTATACCTGCTGCGTAATATTTTCTGCGTCTATCAGAGCCACCAACTTCAGAGTAATTCTATCCAACACCTTCAGGAAAGCATAAACACAAACTATTAACAACTGCCATAGCACATGTCACTTATTTTTTACACATTACAGAGCTACGTATGAAAGTATCATTGACTTGGATTATACCTGCTGCGTAATATTTTCTGCGTCTACCTCCCGCGTAGTTCGTTGCACATCTACACTTTCCACCTTTTGGTTTTGACCCTCCCGAGGACTCAACGGATGCGGCTCCCCACACGCTACATTCAGCGAATGAAAAGGAAGAAAACATAACATCTTCAGCAAGGATGTATTCCAATCAAAAGAAAGTCAAACTAATATTAACCCGCAATTTCTCGAAATCCCCATTTTTTTTTTGTCATCGCCAACCGCCTCATTGATCTTTTCTTCGCACCATGCCTCCAGTCTTGGTC